ATATATAGATATAGATATATAGATGTATATTAGTAAACCTTTAGTTGGAAACAAATATCCTTAGAGATTTCCTATGTAGACACTATCAAAAGAAATTTGACTTTTCCAAACTATAATTTGAGTGTATGTGGCTCAGATCTTAGTTCAGTTTGAGAGAGAATAGTCCCTGTTGGCAGTAACTGACCAACTCCAGGCACGGTCTTCATCCTTCATCTCAATTTCATCTGGACGGCTCTCCAAGACAAGTAGGTCATAGTTCATCATAGGTGACCAAGTGTTCAGAATTACTAGCTTTTAGTACCTCTAAAATCTGTCTAATCAGATTAGAAACCACAAAAGGAATTCGCTTAAAAGATTTAAGTTAGGCTTGTCAGTGAATTGTTTTGGATTTTTCTAAACAGTTGTCTAAAGCACTGTCTTAGTTACTTCTCTCATTATTGGGACACAATACCCAACACTCCCAGTTTAAAGGAGAAGAGGTTTATTTTGGCTTACAGTTTCAGGGGCTTCAGTTCATGGTCTACTTGTCAAATAGAAACAGACTGGTGGAAGGGCCTGTTTCAGAGGACAGATTCTCATGTCATAGCAACCAGGAAGCAGTGAGATAAGGGAGGGGTCTAGCGCACCACCCATCCCAGAGCCCTCCCTCTTCCTAACCAGGCCCTGCCTCCTGATGACAGGTCAACTATAGCACCCCAGTGATCCAGTCATCTTCCAACAGCCCATCACTGAACACTTGAGGCTCTGAGGGAACATTTTATATATTTAAGCCAAAATAGATAAAAAACTAAGAGCACTTTTTAGTCATACATAAGTGATTGTTCAGTTACTGTGTCAATTTTTAGTGCTTCCTCAATAAAATATCACAGACTGGGTTACTTAAACAATATAAATTTTATTTTCTCTTAGTTCTGGAGACTAGAAGTTTGAGATCAAACTTCAGCAGAGTTGGTTCCTGGGAGGCTTCTCTTCTTGGCTTTATCTTCCTATGATCTCTTAGTGCATGTCTGCATACTAATTTCCTCTTCTTATAAGAATACTAGCCATACTGGATCAGTATCCACCCCCAAAGACCTTCCTATAACAGAAATATTCGGTTAACATCCACCTCCAAAATCTTTCAGTTTTCAATGACCCTATCTCTAGACCCAATCACATTCTGAGATTGAAGGGTATAGACAATCAGTATAGGAAATTTTAGTGGTCAAAACTCAACCTCCAACTGTTCTTGATGCCAGCTCATTAGAAGCACTTTTCTCATTATCTGTGGTGCTAGATTTAGCATCCTGGTCATCTGAGCTGCGATTTCTGTGTCTTACTAATCCCTTTTGATTTGTCATCTCAACCCTGGTGTTTGCTTATTGGCTGCAGAGATTCAGGTTTCCTCTTAATTTGCTCATGGATAAGAATTTTTCCACACCACAATCACTCCATGCCTCTATCACTGTTATTCAAGTCTCTTTTTGCATCCATTTCTCAGTTTCATTTATTTTCCCTCTGCATTTCTTGTGACTTCTACATTCAAGTTCATTATAATATTCTCTATACTAGCCAAATAGTAGGAGCAATCTGAATATCCACAACAGCTGAATGGGTGCATGGTAGTATATTCCAGTGATGGAATACCATACCTGTGAGACTGGAACTATTGCCACTTACTCCGTGATAGATGCAAACACAACATTGAATCTTTTTTGGCCAACAGACCCTATGAGCTCAGCAATGACAGTTTTTAGTCAATTAATATTTACAGGGTACCTATTATGTGCCAGGCATTGTGGAAAGTGTTTTCATATGTACTGTCACTTAATTCTCATAGAATTATTTCATAGGTAGATAGTAATTCAGTCTTATTCTACTTATCCTGTCTGATAAAATGAAGTCTTAGAAAAAAATAGTTTATAAAAGGCAGAATTGAGATTGAAACTCTTCCTCTCTTGAGTCCAGTCCCAGCCTAGGTGCCAGCAGGCCATGTAGCCACTGTCCTTTCTCCTTCACTGACGCTGAGAGAGGCATTAGCTCCATTAGCATGAAATTACCTTGGCCACAGCTGGCCACACACTGACTATGACTATGAGCTCTGAGATCGCTCTGTACTTTCCCTAACTTCACAAAATGAAAGAGATTATTCACCTGCTTTCAAGGAACCCAGAGGCACTAAGAGGAATGAACACACATAATGCTGAAGCCACTCGGAGGAATATCAAGATAAATAGAGATGTCAGGGTCAGATCCAGAGTTTTAGGGTAGGAATTCCCAAAGCCTCAGTTTCCGTCTTGGAGAAGTTTCAAGAAAGTCAAGCAGGTAAGGACCTTAGTTGTAGAACTTTTTGACTAGCAGCTGTAAATTTGGTCTACTTTCTGTATTTTTCTTTTCCTAAGTTATGTCAACAAACCTGGGGCATTTGGTGACTTGGGAGCAAGATTATAAATCACTTACATCTGCCAGAAAATGAGGAAAACCGCACAGCTGACCACAGAATAGTCAGATTCCAAGGTCACAATTCTGGCTCATTAATTAGTAATGAATTTACCTGAAATATTCATAAGAGGATGAATTCCAATTTAACAGTTAATAGTCTTCCTCTAGAACAAAAAAGAGACGCAATGTAATTCTACCTCATAACACCTGGATAAATTCTCTGTCTCAGAATCAGTAATTCATAACAGTATATTTAACATACGGTCTTTCATCAATTTTATAAAAAGAGAGAATTCTATCTCTTTGCTCCAAAATAATGACCTTCATCATTTAAAGGCCCCCAACATGGTAGGAGAATGAAATTCCTGTTATTTTACCAGGTATGTATATTTATTTGCTACAGATGAAAAATTGGGGATGTGTACCTAGTCACTGATAAGTTCCAGAGGTAACCGTATTGTTCCAAGGGAAACTTTTCGTTACCTTGACCCCCATATTTCTCTGTAGAGATTCTTCTTCATTATATTTACTTTGAAATATTTATCAACCATAGAAAATGTGGAAGATCAGGAATAACAACAACGCATTAATGATATGTGGATCCTCCCAGTTTCCTTATCACCAACATTCAAAGGTCCCATATACTACACCAGCCTGGCCGCCTGCATACACTTAGAAAGCAGGCTTTCAGACCTCTTCCCCTACTTCCAGAAAGAGACCAGGCCTCACTTCCGCCCATGCCCAAAGCACCATTGAATACACATAGTCTCAGCTATGCAAGTAACAGCGCTCATATTGGAGGGGGGTATTTTTTAAAAGAAAATTCTGTAATCTTTAGGACCTTGTGTTTTTAATCATTTTCCTTTTTCTTAAAACTAATCCCAAAGGAAGGTGATTGTTTGCAAATGATCTGAGATACCTGACAAGGAATCAAAAATGACAACAGAAACCCTTTAACTGGGATTACATTTTTAGGGTACACATTTCACACAATCATCAAAACCTGTCAAAATACAGTAAGTTTGAGAATTATACAAGAAAGAAAACTTCTTATTCTACACTTACTTCTTAATTGTTAAATACGTATTATTTAGTAATCCTCCATATAAGACTAAAAGTTAAAAGGAAAAACCTGTTCAGACCACCTGAAGTAGAAAAACTTGCTTGCGGATACTTGAAAGAGGTTATCATTGAGATAAAAAAAAAAAAAAAAATTAAAAAGTCACAGGTAATGTGGAATCACATAATTCCAAGGAAACCTCCCAGGAAATGTCACTCATTTGGCACATGTTAAAGGTTATTAAAGACTCAGTATTGTTATCTGGTCCATCTGTGGCAAGAAAGCTCGCTAGGGACATGTGATAGTAAAGTGGAAGGAGTGTTTAACCTTCACAAATGAACAAACAAATGGCAAATTGTACACAAATGGATCGTTTTAATTAATAAAACATTTATCTGTCCTTCAAATCCGATATTAAGCATCTTTACCTGGCAACACTATTAAGTTGAGTGAATCTTTATTTGTATGCTTGAAATTATTTCAGTTCTGTAAATGTCTAATAAAAGTTTTTATCTAACTCAGAAAAATCCTCCATCAAACTTGGCCATATCATGTGACTTCAGTATTTTAAATAACTTGAAAATGATACCCACACATACATGTACTAAGTGTGCTTATTATGTGCCTAGAGACCTATACCAAATGTAAAATGATTCCAAAGAAATACAGTCTCTGTTTTTATGAAATATCATGATGAGATAGAACTGAAAACATTTTACAAAATAAAGCATTGGATAAATAAAATCTTAACCTGCATTCACACAGCTCAAGAATTTTGGGTATTTGACAGTCTGTTCCTCAAGTGGCCAACTATGAGGTGTGATCGAAATATATGGTGAATGTCTAAATTAAAAGCATTTATTACCATGAAAGACATATTGCCATTAATCCCCATCAAATTATTCTTCCCTTATTTTGAACACATGAATCCTATCATTCTTCCCACTTTCTGAAGCAGTTCTGGAAGTCCTCTTTCATAAGTCTCTTTGTGAGGTGGGATCAAAAATACAGTGAATGCTACTCCTAAGTGTCATCCAATCCAAAAGAAAGGTAAGCTTCTAAAGTTGTTTCAGAGTGACTTTATCTCCCTTATTTACCACATTTGGCACCATGTGACCTCCACTTGTTCCCCGAAATCAAAACGACCATGAGAGGTAAATGTTAGGAATCAATTCAGGATAGTGAGGCAACCGAGACACCACAACTAACGACATGCACAGAGGAGAATTTCCAGAACTGCTTCAAAAAGCAATAAGAATGATAGGATAAGTATGTTTGAAATGAGGGAGACTATTTTGAGGGGGAATCACAGCAGTGTATTTTATGCTATAATTATATTTTTTTAATTTAAACATTCACTGTGTTTTTATCATACTTGCTATGTAACCAGGAAAAAAAAGTGGCAAGCAGTGCTTTGGAATAGCTGACTGTAGTCATTGAAGGCAGATTTTTTTTTTAAATAAAGAAGACACATAGGTTGACTGAACTTGCTTAGAATTGCTCCTGGATGGTCAGAAATGCACAGAGGCAGGAGAGAATGCAGTGCTGAGACTTGTCTGGTTAAATTGTAAGTGTGAGGATGAATACTACATAGCAGTTCTTTCTGCCTCAACCCTAAAAGTCCCCCATAGGTGTTTGTTTGTTTGTTTTTGTTTTTGAGAGCGTGTTTTAAGGGCTACAAGGCGAAAGCTACTGACTGGGTGCGCAGTAAGACTTGTGAATACTATTAGGAAAGACTCCCTGAGTTTTTGCCAAAAAACAGTGAGAGTAGTGGGAACAGGAAACGAGCCAAATGAGACCTCCCAGAGATGACACGGGCAGGAGCTCCAGGGACAGGAAGCAGCAGCGGGAACAAGCACTCATGTGAGGAGAAGACGCCAACCGGAGAGAAGGGACACTTATCCACTGGTATAGTGGACACAGCATGGAGTACACAAGTCTTGTAAGGGCCCGTGAAAGTGTTTTTACAGTAATAGCTTTTAAAATCAGAACCCCCAAAAGGACTATTTTATAATAATGAAAGTAAAATAATAAATTTAGTCTGGATAGTTTTGTGTTTATTACAATGCCGTCATAAAATAGGATTTAAAATTTTTCTTTTATGGAGGAATGGGCCCATGAAGGCAAAAGTTCCAGCGGCCCGTGACAGTCATACTGCCACCTAGCACCCATCAATCAGCCCAAGGGAAGAGAATATGCAAAGGGTGGGCCTCACATCTTAACAGCTTTTATGGGGGGGGAGGCTGGCAGTCAAAGACTATGGAGATTGTTCCCCTTTCCTCCCCCGGCCCGCCCACCCACGGTCTGGAAAGGCAAAACAGAAAGTGCCAGTTAACACATAACACGGACCGGAGTGGAGGCACAAGAGTTATGTAGTATGCAAATATAATCAGAGTCACTCCTCATTAATCTCAGAAGACTTCCTATGAAAGGTGCTGGCTTTAAGAAGTATGCAGCTGTGATTGAAACAAAAAAAGTAGCAACACTGTTAGGGGAAACCATTAGTAAGAGAGAAATACACTGGTACCTGGGACGTCTTCCTCTTAAATGTCCTGGGTCGTTATTTTAGACAGGCACCAATTTAGTTGCTACAACTCTACTACTCTTATTGCAGAATCAGAAATCACATTATTTTCACTTAGAAACAAATCACTGAAGCAACTTGGAATTCATTATCAGTTGTGAGTTCCACATAAGGATCTCCTATTAAAAGAGAGAATTCTCTCCGTGCTTCTTAATTATTTACTAGACCTGTGCTTCCTTCAAGATGTTTAGAAATGATCGGCAGTGTGCTCTGATTTAGTTCTTGTTTCACCACTTTTAAAACCTACAAAATAAATGTTCTGTTGGCTGGGTTAAAAAGTGAGTGGGTTAAAATAGAACCAGTATGATCTAAACCTTAGTCTATGTTGGAGGAAATCTCCCAGCACATTCACCTGGGAAAGGTATGGAAGGGATCACCAGGAGGCACAGGGCACTGGGAAATGCCCCGACCTTTCCCTTGTAGAGGGTTTGAAGAGAGTGTGACACTTACTGTGACATTTGCATACCCACGTAAAAGAATGTTATCCTGGCTCTACATGTGAGATGAGAACAGCCATCAGATTCCTTTTTTTTTTTGTGGCCAGTTTCCTGCAGGTACTTAAACCAAGGGTGCAGAATTTGTATATTTAGCATATGCAAAGCTGATTAACATTTCATTTGTAATAATCTTACCATAATAGCACTTAATTAGCATTAAGAATTAGCATAAAGCTTATAAACTTAAAATCTATAGTGTAAAGTTTCTATATATGAAATGTTTAGTTTAGATTTTCATGAAGATAAAAGAACAGTGGTTTTTTTTTTTTAGAAATTTGCTCCTGGGTAAAATTATGGATAGCTGATTCTTTCAAAAAAGGACAAAGAAATATTCACAGAAAAATGTTTGCTTAAAGGCTTGGGGTGCTGGGGGAGTAAGTTCAGTGGGAAAATGCTTACCTAGACTGTAGGAGGTCCTGGGCTCAATCCCCAGCACCATGGGGGAGGATTGCTTATATTCAGTCTGAGTAATTAGCAATTATTAATTAATCTGAGTAACTAACCACCGACAGTGGTTGCTACCTAAAATTTGATTGTGATCACAAACGATTTACACTTAAGACAGTCAGTTCACAACACAGGACAGCCCCTGGCTCCTTCACCCAGACAACAAGGGTATGTATGGTAGAGAATGTAGCAGACGCCCCTGGGCTACAGGTCTGGATCCCTGAGCCTTTGGCTCAGCAAAAATGATTTTGAGTTGTTAGCCAAATCACATCCTCTTTGAGCTTCAGTGGCTCAACTATCTATAAAATACAATATCTACCCAGAGTTATTATGAAGCCAAACAAATAAAATTGCATCAGCCACCTCCCAGTGTCCAGTACTCGCTAGCTTCTCAAAATAGTTTCATTCCCTTCCCTGTGAGACAGGACTGCAGCCAGACTTCCTCATCTACAGACATCTGGTGATTCCACAGCCTGGATTCCAGCCGGAGAGATTCCTGTGATGTCCAATATTTTGTACTCTGAATTTTCCATTCCATAGTAACAAAAAAGAAAAGAAGTGCACCAACATTAGGCTTTCTTAATAAATGTTAATGTCATCCGCTGTACTCCCTATGTTTCATTCATTTATGCCTGCTTGTATAACAGAAGATAGGAAAAAGAATATTCTCAAGAATTATTCATTAGAAAGGCTATCATTTATATGTTTCATTGGCGAAGAAACAAATGATAAAAGAAATGGAAACATCAAAGAATTTTCCACAGCAAAACACCAAGGAAAATACATTTCCCTTTATGCTGATAGTGTGTTCCAGACAGTCAAAAATATCTCAAGATCTTAAACAAGGAGTAGTCTATAAACTGATTTTTCAAATATTATTTGAAAAGAAATAGGTTAAAATGATCACTGGAGGATGATAATTTCTAAAGTTTCACTGTTCTTTTTTGTTCTTGCTAAGAATGATGTAAGAGCGTACGAGTTTAATCTAAAGGGTATAAAACACATATACATGAGTGTATTTCCAGTGTATATTCTCTATTTTGTCTTCATGTTGTTTTTAATAGAACAATATTGACTATTTGGTGTGTTTGTATTTAGGAAATTGGGTTTGAAGATTGCATAATTATGCAGATATATTACTTTAAATGTTTTAAACCACTGACTTCAAAAAGGAAAGATACCTGCATACTAAATTACTATCAGCCCTACAGATCTGCTGATAAGCAAAGTTTAGTAGTTTTATGAATTGTTGAATCAATTATCAGTCACATTCTGAGTTCTGAAAGATAAATGGTGAAGACAAATAACAGCTTGATTTGACATTATTATGTAGAAGTGGCAATAAGATCTGGGGGGAATCTTGCTTTCATATATATGTCAATGTGCGCCTTGACTTGGCAGGATTTTAGACACTGTCTCTGAAGCCATGGCAATGTCATTATGGCAAACTTGCCCTTTCTGTTCTCAGACTGTACCACAGTTGTAAAGCAGTGAAGCTCATGGGGTATTATCTCAAAAGCCAAAAGGCTATGAAGAAAAAGTTGCTAGCAGGCACTAACATGGGTGTCATGACTCTTTTCAGGTAGTAGGTGTTACCTTGAAGAAAAAGTGGCACTGTCTTCAAAAAAGTGACCTGACCCTGGCTTTGGTGGGTTTTTCTGCAAGAAATAAAAAGCACCGCATGTGTTTATTATACATCCTTTCTAGCGGACCACTGCTTTGTTCTAGAGTTCAGCATGAAAGGACTAATTTATTTTGTTTTTTTTTTTTTTTTTTTTGTTTTTTTTTTTTTTTAAGTAAAATGGCATGTCCGTTGCTAATTCTAGCTACTGTAGTTGCACATGTAAAAAAAAAATCTCTATAGTTTATGGATTGGTAGCATTTCAAATAAGTGACATACTGAAAAATTGACCTGAAAGCTTTTGAGATGCTAATCAATTGACAGTTTTTTCTTAGCTGAAGAATCTGAATTATTATTTTTTAAATTATATCTTGTAACATTAGATTTGTTCTTACAAATGTAGCAGGAATTTAAATATAAGCATGCCACTTTGTTTATTGCTATTTTATTAGAACTTCTTGGAGCATGGAAAGACTTCTTCAGAAATGATTGGCTCTTTTGAAAGAACAAGCTGCAAAAATATTTGTTATTAACCATATAGCCTATAAATAAGCATAGCTTATAAAGGTATACTACGCTTATGGCATGTACTGTTTCAAACAAATAATTTTTACATTTAAAAAATGTTAAGCAATTTAGTAGTATCATGATAACTCTTTTCCCGGATTTCAGAATTGTATGCATTTCCGTTTTAGGAAGTTTACGTTGCTTCATTAAAGAAGAAACCTGGAATCATGCACCCTGATTTGTTATACAATGAATCATTAAATTTCCCTTTATTCTTCCAGAAATCAGTTATTCTAGGATTGTGGCCGCATAATCTTTTAGAACACATATAAAAATTACTACCAATGTAGCTGCTGAACAAAATCTCTAGTATTTGATCGTGCATCTTGAAAATAATACATTATTCTTCATTAAATGTTAGTTCTTAAACTGAAACAAACTTTCAGCATTGTAAACAGATTCACACATTTTAAAACCTATTAACTCTGCGAAAAGTTTTTCATTGTTCTCGTAAAGTTGCTACTGGCTACATTTTAGAAAGTCAATGTGTGAGAAAATGGACACTGTTTTGCTCCCTAGAGCGAACTTGCCTTCAAAACACTTAAAACCCTTGTAAAGCCCACGATAATGATGTAATTCTATCCCCTTTTGTTGCATAGAAACTATCAAGATTTATTAAGCTCTGGAGTTAATATTGACCATAGCTCTTAACTCCCGTTTCAGGCAACACATCCCCATATGTTCATTTTTTTATTTCCTTACCTGTGATATCTCTGTATGCTGCATTCATATTTGAAGTAGAATTATAGCACATTCATTTATACGTGCTCTTAGAAGAAAATGATTTCCTCTGGAGAGGGTATGCCAAGGACCTGAGAAGATACTTTTTGTTTGTTTGTTTTTGAAGTATTTAAGATTATTTAATTTTTACATAGTATGAGATTTTTCTAGTTCAGTTGGAAAGGTAATATTTGGGTTTTTTCATATGTTATATCTGTGCTCAAATTTTAATAATCTTATAGATTCAAAAGTCAGAAAACCAGCATCCCCTTTTACATTCAAGATTCTGCTTTGTACAGAGACATACAGATAGATCACTGCTTCAATATTAATCATCTTTTGCCCCTGGATTTACAGCGTTCTCTGACTAAAAGCCATTTCTAAATTCTATTAAATCCCATGGTTTCAAAAGCATTTGAAAGTGGCAATTTTCTTTTTTTTTTTTATCATGATTCAGTAATTCCTACTATCTTCATAAATCAAGTTGGGCAAATTCCTAGGATATCAAACTACTGAATAATTCTTAGAGAGTTTTGTAACATTTTTACACATTTTATGACCAATCCACTAAAAAATGACAAGGACTCCAGAGACCACCCAACCAAAGCCATCTGTGGGAGTCAGATTCTGATCCTAATCTCTCTCTCCCAAACTCCTGTCATTCAAAATATTTAGGGATTATACAATAATAATTTATAAATGCATAGACCAGGCAACCACTATTGTTTTCAAACTGATACTATAAAAAAGTTTGCTATGCTAATTGCCTTAAAATACATACCTATAAAATACTATGTTAAAATTAAATATAATATACCAGTTATAAAGGTGAAAAAGTAGGTGAAAGTTCACAAATAATCTTTTTTCAGATTTTCTGTGTTTTCTCCTCAGCCAAAAGCCTCAAGATTCACTTGCAGCAGCCGCCTGCCTCTTCACTTATGTCGGATTGCTCTTTAAACATTAGAGTATCTTGTAATAATCTAAGTTAAAGATTTCTCCTGACACAGCCATTGTTGATTTCACTGTTATAGGGTAAAGGCTCTAGGGCGGCAGATAAGGCTGTTGCCATGGTGATGAAGGAGATACCGAGGGAGGAGTCTGCTGAAGAAAAGCCCCTCCTTACTATGACATCACAGGTGGGCAGACCCATAGGGTTCCTGTAGGAAGCTGACATATGTCAATATATCAGACAATATGATCATTAACTAGAGGAAAAAAAACGTTAACTCTGGAACCAATTTTTTTAAAGACAGTTTCAATGAAACAACTGTACAAATATAAATGCAAAAGAAAATTGCTAAAAAAAATTTTTACTTAGCTATTTGTTCATGGATTTTAATTTTCATTACTCAACTTTAGTTTTAAAACTATACAAGCAAATACTGTAAAACATGTTGTTTCTGTAAAAGGAGTCTCATTAACAACTTTGGGAAACAAGTAACAATTAAGCTAATGGTACATTTGAACGACAACAAAAAAAATCAAATTCCTGTGAATAAACAGTTATATTGTATACATATGTCAGTTTACCAGTAGAATATCTAAATTTTCTTAAATGTGAAATATATTTATGTTGTGACTATGCATACTACATATCTGTCTATACATATTTATGTGGATAACTAATTTACAGGAGTGAGTCAGAAATCCTTGAGTCCCCATGAAGAAAATGGCCTTTGTGGCCCTGCTTACACTTTGTAATCTTGACCACCGCCACCACAATAAACCATCTCTATTATAAGTTCATGAGGGCCATTTTCAGGATTTGTTATCACAAGTGCAGAAAAGCCTGTTTGGATCTGTATGCAAAGACATGCTGAGACTGTGGATCTTGTATGTCCTCAGGGACTTTTGAAACACCCTGTAAAATCTACATAAATATATATAATATACTCATCACCACTCTGTGGAGCTATCAGTTTTAAACTCTTAAATGAGAAATATTTTTACTTGCATTTATCTTATAATTTAGATTAGAATGTTATTTTAAACATTTCATTTTTTCCATAATGCAATAGTAAATGCAGTCATTCAGTTCCTATTATGTACACATGTCTCAGATTAGAAAAAATGTCCATTTACAGTCCTCATGAAAGGCATTTATATGAAAAGCTAAATTATGGCAACTTATTTTTAGAATATCAGCAGATCTTGCTCCAGCTGCTGCCAACATGTGTGGTTTTATTTTATTCTAAATACTATGTTGTAAGTAATGAAAATTATAACACTAAAATTGAATAATTTTTTTGGTTATTAAAGATTACCGGGACCTCAGGATAAATTTCATGTTGTCAGGGTTTTTTTCTTTAAATGCATAAAAAGAGGTGCTGCTTCTCAGTGACACATAGTAATAGTTGAAATTTGCTTTAAATTTATGAAGTTCTAATTTACGTAGTAAAGCAGATGTAGTTTTGCTGGATGTCTTGCCCATCAGAGTCAGACCTTTGTGAAGCCCATGTCTGAAATATTCAATCCACAGTTCCTCAGGCGCATAATGGGGAAGTGAGAACTGCTTGGCTCAGAGAATTCTACTTGGAGAATTCTTGGCTAACATATGTATGTTATTACTGATGTTGGCATAATTGCACCACAACAGATCATCTCAGGACATCACAATTTAGGACAAATTTTGTCTCCCACACTATGCATTTCTTACACACTTTTCAGTAATCTTTTTCCAGATGTTCAAAATCACCTTCATAATCTAAGCTTGAATTTGAAATTTATCACAAAATATTTTCATTTTTTAATTTAAAAATTGTGATTATGACCATTCTCTCATATTCAGAACATGTGTGTGTACCAGTTCTTTCTTTCATCCCTGTCTAATGTTGCATTAAGTGTGTTGAGGTACCAGTTACAATTTTACTGCATGAAGGTAATATAGTGCTTTCTCTGATACATCATATTTCTTATTGCCTACTGGCCAGTTTATGAATCCACAAACAGAGAAATATGATTCATAAAACTTAATGCACCTGTTGTGTTAATAATTTTATGGAATTGGTTCAGTGACAGCTGGGATACAATTATTTCTCAGTCAAATGCAGTGTTATTAGCGAATATACTTTACCCACTACACACGAATGGCTTCTTCCCTGCTATGCACCAGTGGCATGCACAAGCCAAAAAGAAGCAGAATGATCTGAAAAAGTGAGTACTTCCTATGGCAACCATAGATCCAGTCCACATACCATACCACATTCTTATTTGTTATCCTTTGTGAATGTACTAGTGTCTTGACACATGTCTGTCCCAGTGTCTCCTGTAAAACCCCTATGACATAGTGCTGCCTAGTGCTGAAAATATCACCTCATCTTCATCACTAGTATGTTGACGCCAGCTGCTCATGTCAGACTCCAGCTATGTCTGAAGCTAACTGCTGCTGTCTCAATAATGTCTTTGAAACAATTACAGTAGGTAGAATACAGAATAAGTCACTGAAACACCGGCTCCTTACCTCGTTCAGTAATTATTCACTCAACAGCTCTTAAAGGTAGAATAGTCCTATGTTACAGCATGTTTTAAATTGTGTGATTATTATGGTCTGTCCCACAACTTTTAGAGGGGTTTAGCTAAACACCCTCCATTGAAGCCATCAGTAGTACATGGAGCAAACCAAACAAAGAAGAAAATTTGGTGAGATGACCTGAGCTCAGAAATTGCTGGACCCCTGAGAGTTGCTCTCTTTGCTTAATTTAATTATTAATTCTGTGTTAATAAAAAGCTCACATTCGTGCCATCCTAGATTGAGACTAAAAATCAAACAGTGCATAAAACGCATTCATGAAAGTCCCAAGAGGAAAAAATATATTCTAGCCACTGAGGCCTATGAGGAAAAGGCTTCTCCTTTGCTGTGCAGTGCAACAGCCAGCCATGGCATGTGGCTGCTAAGCGCTTCCGGCCGCTTGGATTTGAGACGAGCTGTAAGTATAAAACAAACACCAGAGTTTGAAGATCTAATTTTTTTAAAAAAATTATGCAAACTGTCACATTAATAACTTTTCTATTGAACACATGAGATGATAATACCTTAGCTATACAGTACTGAACTACATAAAAGATATCATTAAAGTTTATTTCACTTGTTTCTTTTCCCTTTTGTTTTTTAAATGGCTACTGGATCATTACAAATTTCGAGGTTCTCATTACACTCCTATTAAGCAACACTGCTCTAAACTCTAATAAAATAAACAACTCTAATTCGAGACTAGGAGGAAAAATTATGTACCAGAAGATCACACATAAAAACGTGTGTGTATGACAATGAGATGACTTTATGGAGACTTTCTCTCCGGTAAGGAACCTTGAGAAATTTTCATTTTGACCATACCCCCTGGGTACTTTTGTTTTTAGCAAGACACAGCCCTCTCATTTTTCCTGTAGAACACAGGGCCTTAGAACTGTGTTCCACGTCCAACTGGTTAAGGGACACGTTATTTTTCTTTACACTGAACCTTTGTCTTTCTATCTGTTCTCACTCTTTATATTTCAACATTGATTTAACTGTTTTGTCTGGTAAAGACAAAAAGAATAATGTCCTTGATTGGAAGAAATTTTCCAAAGTTACTAAACATGGCCTTGATGAACTTCTGAAGTTTTTATTACTGACATAAAACAGTTGCCTCAGTTACATTCTCCTGACTACATTAGTGTCAGTAGTACTCAAAGTATAATTAATGATATCTGATCATTTCCCTATAAATACATTCATTTTATAAGTCTAATTATCCTGTTTGGAAAAATGTTTGTAATCAGTTCATTGACATTTAGATCAAGCCAAAGAGCTGAAAATTACTATAAGATTATCCTTTACAAGAAGACCCTCTGAAAAAAAAACAAAGAAGAAGAAGACCCTCTGGTACTTATACCTAGGAATGAGGCTGGGTCACAGGCCAAGTACTCCTAGCTCATAGGAACTTAACTGTGTCCGAGGTCAGAATTACCATAACAGAGCTCCAAAAGTTTGGGAGTTTAATGCTGCATGGTAATGATTCAGTGGCCTTGTCTTTTCAATAGAGTCAGTTAACTTTGTTAACTCTTACAATATAGTTGCTATTTTGATGGGAATCACACATATTTATAAGCTTGGATAAGACCATGGTCACAAACAAATAGTTCTATTATGAAGCGTATAACTAACAAAGAGCACTTACCTTAAACCCACAATGTCATATAGAAAAACAAATTTTTAATGCACAAATGTATACCTATAAAAACATATTTTTGTTTTATTCATATAGAATCAGAACAAACTTAAATTTTTTCCTTTTAAATAAAGTAAAAAGACACATATTACTATGTTATTTAAATCACTATTACAAGTATGTTTGTCAACTATTTTTAAGTTATCTTCACTTAAAATTATTCTTGGTGTACGACTATGCTTAAACATAAAAATATGGTATTTTACTTTAAAACAACAGTTTGAGATCATTAATCTGAACCATACACTTATGAAAGAATGGGTTATTATCCTTTATATTATAATCAAAATGTCGTTTGCTTTCTTGTCAATTTTTAGTGATATGGTATTATAAACTTTCCATATTTTTGAATAAAGCAATATATTTTTCTAAAGATAAGTAAATCACAAAATAAGATATATAAACATACACTATAGTTTTAGTCACAGACAACATTTTAAAGTAAAACCTTGGTTAAATTGACCCCTGTATCTTAAATCATATAATAGTTTAACTTTTAAACGTTGAAACCAGAGCAATTTAAGTAAGGCAAATGTATTTTCAGATAAAATTTTAAGATAATTATCCATTAAAGCTAGATGATACTTTCTACATTTGTTTGATGATTAATATTAATAACATCAACTGACTAGTCTGAATGTACCATAATTCAGTTGAAGTCATTTGATTATTCAAATGACTACAAGATTACAAGGAAGGTGTAAAGGCTCAATGTTCTTTTGAATCCTAATTGACAAGAAAGCCCTGCTTGCACATTCTTACCCATCTTCTTACTTCTATTGTGTCTATGTCCAGTGTTTCCTCTCAGACTTGCCAGATTTGAATCTCTGATTTATAATCAGTGAGGGAGGTAGGGGGGTGAAATCTCAAAGTGCTGTTCATCTCCCATTCACTTTAGTCCATGTCCTTCTTCCCAGTGCTGGTGGAGT